GGGGGGGGGGGTGCAGACTCTGAAATGCTCCAGACCGAGGCCCTCACCCCCATCCCACCGATGACTGGGCCAGGGAGTGGGCCCACACTGCACTCACCCATTTGTAACCCTCATAAACCGCAGGGCTCCATGTGGCCCAGTCCAAATGCATGTCACCCTTAGAGAAACAGTCCGGTCCCCTGAAGAAACCACGGCAACCGCTGTACCTCCTAAGAGCACCGAGAGTACTCCCAACTCCTCCTCCGGCCGATGCCCTGGTATGTCCCCCCTTCCTCTTTGCCATTCACTCGCCTTACAGCTGTCCCGAAACCTCTCTCCCCGGGTCTCACTTTCAGAGCTTCCCCCTAACGCTCTCCAGGGCCCTCAGCGGCGCCTTCCCTTCCCCCACCCTGCTCTTCCACCCACTGCCGCCCTCTCCGCTTGCCTGCAAGGAAATCTTCATCTTCTCCGAGCAAACGCCCCCCCCTTCACCCCTTATTCCTGGCGGCACAGCCACATCCAGAGGACGCATGGGGAAGGTGGCGAGCAATGCCAGGAATGGCCTTAGGAGAGGGGAGACACTCCTGCGCTGGTCATCTCGGTGCCCTGAGATCGCTCCCTCACTCTCAGCAGGGACTTGCCGAGGTCCTGCTCTGCGCTCTCTGACCAGATGGCCTGTGTAGGACAGAAATGTCCTCTTCACGGTCTCTGTCCTCAGAGAGCCTCCCGTCTACCTCCCAGAGGCCGCCGGGGCTGCTCACACTGTCCGCATGAAGGGACCAGGCCTGGCTTCGCGGGGAGCAAGCTCTGGACACAGCTCTTGGTTACAAAGGTCTCTGCCTGGGTGGCCCGAGGGCAGCACTGAGGCCCGAGGTCAGATGCTACGGGGAGGGTCCACGTAGGGAAGATGCTCCCTTTCCTGTCTTTTACTGGAAACATCTTTGTTACGTTCCCTATAGCACAGGTTTTTTTTTTAAAAAAAATTCCATCCCCATAAAGAGCAGAGTTCCCTGTAATTACGCCTCCGTGTAGTAGTACTTTTCAGAATTAATACTTATATTAATAGCCTCAAATTAAACACGCTTTTTCGCAACCTGATTTTTTTTAACTCACCCATAAATTTCCAACATCTTTCTATATCAGTCCACATAAACCTCACTCATCTTTTCTCCTGATAGTTGTTTGTGAAGAAAATAAACAATATTCAATACCCTATTGATCAATGTTTAGGTGTTTTCCCAGTTTTTTCACTCTCCCAAGCAGCGCTGCATGTTCACCCAGCAAGCTGTTGGTTCCCCAGCCACAGAGGTGCTCAGGGCTGGAGGGTCACCAGTCATGAAGCTGCAGTGGCTCAGCAGCTGGGCCAGGTCCCCACGCCCACCCTCACCCCGGAGCGCCACCTCCTGCTCACGTCCAGTGCCTGAGTCAACAGATGCCAGCCCTGCCACACCGCCTGCGTTTCAGGGCCTCCAGCCTGAACCCATCCCTTGATTCTCTCAGGCTCCCAGTGCTCAGGGCTTCTTACCCTGAGGTCAGCTCCTCCAAGCCTCATGCTGGGCATCCCCTGGGCTCTGCCTGGGGAGAGGTGCTGGTGAGCAAAGGAGCTGATGTTTAAGGCAAGAACCAGCTCTGTCCGCCCAGCATGGCCCCTCCTCTGCCTGGTCACCAAAGCCTTGCTGCTAAGACACCCAAAGTTCAATAGTTAACATATCAAACACCTGCAGTGAGTGAGCAGCTGCTGGGGGCCGGGCCTTGTGCTGCCCTTGGGGGCCACAGGGACATGACTCCCAGAGGTCCCTGCCCTTGAGAAGCTCGTGCCCATTGCTCACATACACACAATCACCACGGAATGGCTAAGGTTAGGGCCCGAGGGTGTCAGGAAGGGTGGATAAAGGCACAATAGCCGTCTAATCCAGGAGCTGGCAAACTTTCTACAAAGGTCTGGATGGTAAACATGTGAGGCTCTGCCGGCCACATGGTCTCTGTCACAACGACTCAACTGCCCTCACGGTTCCAAGCAGTTGCAGAAAATACGCAAATAAATGGGCATGTTGTTCAGTTGTTCATTTTCAGCAGGTGGTGGCTGGATTTGGCAGGAGACAGTGTGTTAACCTCCGGTCCAGCCAAGGGTTCTCAACTTGGAGACCCACTGAAGTCCCCTGGGGAGTTTTAAATGACCAGGTGATGGGACCTTGCAGCCGGGGTTGAGAACCACCTGCGCCGGGACCAGTAGAGGCTTCATGGAAGAGGCGACCCTGGAGCTGATGAAAGCCCACAGGACGCGCTCACTCCTCAGAGCAGAGCAGGGATCCACGCGGGGCTGCCGGTCTTTCTGCGGCCCTGTGTTACCACCTGGAAAGAGCTGGTTTCACTGCACAAATGTGGCCCTCACCGCCAGATTCGCCAGCGGACATAGCACACCTGCAGGATCTTGGCAGCCATGTAGTGAGTGGCTGATGTTTGACAGGGTTACGGCAAGGGCTGATGGCCCTTCTGCAGGAAGCCTGGAGGACAAGGGGGTGCTTGGGGTACAATGGAAACCTGGGCCCTGCAGGGAGGAGGGACTGGAGCTGAGCGCAGCTCACCCTGTGCAGTTCTGTCTTCCAGCCCTGTGACTCCCCAAACTGACTGACTGTGCCCACCGACCCTCGAGGAGCTCGTTAAAATGCAGGTCCTGATTGGGCAGGTCGGGGTGGGGCCTGAGATTCTGCATTTCTAACAGGTTCCCAGGTGAGCCCCATGCTGCTGGGCCCCGGATCACGTCTGGAAGTGTGGGGGCCTCCACTAGGCTTAGGCCCAGTCATCCCCCCATGGCTCTAAGCTGCTGTCAGCGGACCCAGGTCTCCAGGGTGCTCCCCACAGTCCTAGCTACCAAAGGGTGTCACCAAGGAACCGGCNCTGATTGGGCAGGTCGGGGTGGGGCCTGAGATTCTGCATTTCTAACAGGTTCCCAGGTGAGCCCCATGCTGCTGGGCCCCGGATCACGTCTGGAAGTGTGGGGGCCTCCACTAGGCTTAGGCCCAGTCATCCCCCCATGGCTCTAAGCTGCTGTCAGCGGACCCAGGTCTCCAGGGTGCTCCCCACAGTCCTAGCTACCAAAGGGCGTCACCAAGGAACCGGCAGTAGTGACGGTCAGCGGGGCATGAGGTGCCCGGAGCCCTGCCAGCCAACGCCCTCCCCACTCCCCCTCGGGGGGCTGATACTTGGGAGGAACGAGGAGCAGCTGCCCTTCCNACCAAGGAACCGGCAGTAGTGACGGTCAGCGGGGCATGAGGTGCCCGGAGCCCTGCCAGCCAAAGCCCTCCCCACTGCCCCTCGGGGGGCTGATACTTGGGAGGAACGGGGAGCAGCTTTCCTTCTTCAGTCTTCCCTCTCCCCTGAGGGTCCCCACTCAAGGACCCGTCTGCGCTTTTTGCTTTTCTTTCTCGGGTCTTGGTCAGCCATCTAATTGATCGAACTGTGGCAGCTGGCGAGGGCTCCGGTGCCAGCTCTAATTTCTGGGCTCCACGCTCCTCTGGGGGGTAAACAGCCATTTCAATGAACCCCAATAAAGAGTGAACAGATGTGGGGCGCCGCTGAGGAGCAACACGCAGCTCGGGGGGACAAGTGGGCACAAGGAGCTGCGGGGCCCGGGCCCCAGGGCAGAGATCTCAGACACAGTCGCAGCGGACAGAGAACAGTAATTTTTCAGTGATCCATTCACAGTAGAATAAAGGATGGAATTAAAAGGAATGTCGGCAAATAAATGACCACAGGTAGGAAATGAAGACTCCATACAGCGC